AAGAAAAAGTTTTCTGTGTGATGTAATATGATGGTGGAATTGTGAGAAAAGTGATTATAATACGGGAGTTAGAATATATGAGTGGATGTGATTGCAATACAGGTATTGTTGTTTAACCAGAGGGTGTACTCATAATATATGTATTATAATATACCGAGTTATGTAGTCAAGACTCACGTATTATGACACGTTGTCCTGTGAAAAAGGTGTGGAAAAGAATGAAAAATATTGATGGTGAGTTTAGATAGTTACAAAGATACACTGGGGTATAAAGTCTGGAGAAGATTTGAAAAATCTTGAAAAAATGAGGGTGGTGAATGCTTCGTGTGAACAAGTGCACAATAATTTGCTGAAAGTGAAGGCATTCATAGACTGCACACTTATTTCTTGATGGGTCTCCTGACTATACCTTTGCTAAAAGAGGCCGAGACAGCACACATGTATTCGTGTTGCTGGAGCTAACCAGCAGCTATCTAAGCTATAAAGTCCTCAAGTGATCCCAGGAGCATTGAATATGAAAGTGAAATTGACGTGAAAGTGCGATGTATATGAAGTAGTGTAGAAGTTGTATGACTATAATATATGTATTGTAACATGTCAGTTGATGTTGTAATGATATATGGGTTGTAATACATCGATATGTGCGATTAGGATACATGAATTGTGACACATTGATCGATGTGGGATAATACATGTATTATGATATATGGATTAGTAAAAAGATGCATGTTATGAAAGTTTGCAAATATGATCGATTGTCTGTTTTGTGTGTACTTTTTTATGATAGTGAATTGTATGACTTGAATATAAGTGTTAATTCAATCCATGTTAGAAAGTATTTTTAGTATTATATACATATATATATATATATATATATATATATATGATTATTTTGCTTATGTTAAATAAGAGATTTAGTGGGACGGGAGATACTCATCCTTACTAATATTTTCAGGTAATGAAAGTGAAGAGATAAAGATGTTTGACCCGTCCTAGGATCATAATTCAAGAGTATTAGAAGGAAGACTGCTCTGTAGGGACTGAGATAATTTGAGAAATTGCATTGTTTTATCTAATTATATTTCGTGTTGACCAAAGTTTGTATGTATTCAATATAAACTAGATAAGTTACTAGATGTAAACTTAAGTTTTATTTATTACCTTTAAAGTTTAAGATCATTCCCTTGGAAATCCTAAACGTTTTTAGAATTTTATGAAACTTTTATGAGAAGAAAATGTAAGTTTTATTTTTGTGCAATTCCCAAGTCCATGAATAAGAACAAAACATTTTATTATTATTATTTATTCACTATAAATTTATTTATTTTAAATGAAGAAATTGAGGATGTTAGAAAACCTACTTCATCCTTATAGGTAGAGAAAATTTTTCTTTTGTCAAAATTTTTCCTTCATATACATGAGTTTCACTTCTAGTATCTCAAAAATATTTTTAAAAAAATTAAAGAAAAATCTAGTTTATCCTTTTTCACCTTTGATTCTAAGCATTTTAAGTCTTGAGTTTTTAAATTGTGCAATGCGGTTCTTTATATACTTACCAAATTGTGAAAAGAAATCATTTCATTATTGAAACATTCAATTTAGTTGTTAACTTTTCATGTGCATGATTTGTTGAACACAAATATCTTCATTTAAAAAGAGAAAATGAAGTTTAGCTTTCTATCTTTTGGTCTTGTGCAATTTAGATATGAATTTTTAAATTATTCAACACCTCTTTTACACATGAGAAGCATAAGAGAAATTAATGATCAAATTATGTATCTCATTAACAAAAGAATTTATTTATATAATTTGATAAATATAGAATATCGTTTGCACACTTTAAAAATTAAGAGCCTAAATTGCGTAAAATAGACATTTCTCTAAAAATTATACAATAAATTCTTAATATTTTTTATATAACTTCTTTTTTTATAATTAAAAAAGTAATGAAGAGCATAAAATTATGTCAAGGGTGAAGCCAAGTGATTTAATACCTAAATTCCTTATAATTAGGGATAAATATAGGTCGACTAATCTTCTTATCGCTTGTCCTGCATTATGCCTAATAGCTTAAACCTATTTACTAAGTTAAACAATATTTTTTTTTAATTTACTTAGACAAAAGGCTAAACTCTAAAAAATCTTTATTTTTTTTAACTAACCCATTTGAGTAAATATAACTAAGTTGATTATGATAATGAGTATATGTGATATGATTATATTATTTTTTATAATATCTTTAAATTATATAATTATTAATTTATTTAAGGACTCGAATATTGTAATGCCCCAAGTTTTATAAGTTATTGGTTATTAATATAAATACATGAATTATTGTTTGAATGCATATTTGATGTATATGATGATATAAATATATGTGAATATGAGTATGAGTGTGAATACTGATTGTGTGATGAGTTAGATGTGAATATGATTGTAAAGATAGCCATATAGTGTGGTTGGAATATGATGTGGACTTGTGATTGAGTTGGAATTGTTTGAAATATAGGCTAAGTGTGTAATGCAGGTGATTCTGTTGCGTTCTCGTTGCAGCAAGAATGCAAAAGAGAGGGGTGTATTTCTGGGTATAGTCTCGCCGTAGCGAAAAGGTCTTGCTGTAGTAAGATTCTGCAGAAATCAGAGTGCAGTTTCCTCTGAAATTTTTACTGTAGCGAGGAGTATCCTCGCTGTAGCGAGAATATCTTGCTATAGCAAGAGTGTCACAACCAGAATGGTATTTAAAGGGTTTAGGGTTTGGGAAACGCATTCCCACTCTTTTATCTTCAAACTCTCTTCGATTCTCTCAACTCAAAACCTTATTTCACCGATTAAATTACTTCTAAAGCCGTTTGTGAGTTAGATTGAATATTGAAATCATGTTTGAAATGCTTGGAGGTGGGTTTATGGGTTAGGGTTTTGGTTTTTGTCCATCTTCCTTGTTTTCTTAGTTTGTCATGGAGATTTTCCATGTGTTTAGGACGAAATTCGTGTGGGGAGCCTTTTCATTGTTGATTTTGTGTTGGGTCTTTGATTTGAGGTAAAGGGAGACTCTACCCTATCTCATTGTATTTGAAAATTTTTTTATTTGATTCATGGAGATTTTCCATGTGTTTAGGATAAAATCCATGTGGGGAGCCTTTTCATTGTTGATTTTATGTTGGGCATTCGATTTGAGTTAAAAGGGGACTCTACCCTATCTCATTGTATTTGAAAAATTGTTTATTTGGTTATGTATTAGAATGTGGTTAGGATAAAATGTAAAAAGATATGTATTTTGATGAGAATGGTTGGGTTGGGATTGAATCTTGATGGAAATGTCGTGTGTAACATGATGTGATTAATGTTTGAGTGTAATGTGGTAGATGTGGTGGATATTGTATGTGATGAAATGAATGATTGTAAGGACATTGTGATGAAAACTGTGTGATTGAATATTATGTGGTGAAATATGGATGTTGTGCCTTCGATTGAGAATGGATAATATGTGATGAATGAAATATGTGTGTGGAAGGCATAATGAATTGTGAATGTGAATGTGTTTGAAATGTTGGAAACTATGAATAGTTCAACGATACACTGGGGTATGGAAGATGGGGCGATAGAAATACCTTAGGAAAGATAGGTGGTGGTGATACTAACAGTGATCGTGGGTGCACCACAGGCCAAATATTCTCCTTCTGACTCGGCCTTTGACTAACACCTTTGTCAAGGAGCCCATGACCGCACACGTTGTATCCGTGAGGCGAAAGTTATCTAATGACCATCCATGGTGTAAAACTAGGTAAGTCCCCGAGGTTGAGAGCATTAGGAATATGTGATCACAATGTCACAGTGAGCGTGACTAACGTGCAATGAGCACACGTGTGTGTAAATTGTTTGACAGTGCAATGAGTGCACCTGTGTATAAATTGATATGATTTACTTTTGTGTACAGTGAGTGTACACGTGTAATGATTGATATGTACTTGATGTGCGTGTGATTGTAATAAGTGATTCAAATTAAATTATGAAATATTTGGGAACATGCAAGGTGAGTCTCTGTGTTTGTGTGTGGTAGTGTAGAGTACTCACCCTTACAATCATTTTTCAGGTGACCAAGACATCAACACTGAGCTTAGTGAATGAATGGATGAAACTGCTATACGACTTAGAATATTATTTTAGAAATATAATGTATTTGAAATAGTCCTGTAATAGTCATTTGATATAAATTTGTAATTCTTACCTTTATTTTAAAATATTTTGATGAGACTATGTATTAGAAATTATTTAAATAAAAAATTTTATTCTCATTTTTGTGAAATTTATTTACTTAAAAATTAAATTAAGGTATTACAAACATATTTATTTAGAGGTAAGTTTGTTAACTTCTTTAAAATACTTTATTACATACAAAAAGAGAGAGATATTTTAAATTCGAATGGAAGAAAAAGTGACAGGAAAGAAAATTTTCAATTCATATATTTTAAGATTAGACTTTCTCTTTTTTCCCATTCAAACAAAAAAAAATGTATCATTATTTTTCTCTCATTCAAACAAACTGTTAAAAGAATTATCAAATATTGAAAAAAATATATTAAGTGAATACATCAAACTCAAATTAAATAAATAAATCATATTTATTTAAGATAAAGGATAGCTTAATTTGAAATTTCAATCATATATTTTTTTAATGTAAAATTTTATCATATTTTTGAGTTGAAAAATTTGAATGGAAGAAAATGTAGGAGAAATTATTTTGATTATCTTTAAAAGTCAACATTTCTCTAATAATAGCCAATAGACTAAGCTTGTTTTTTTAACTCGTGATCTGTGTATTAATAGAATTTTGTTTTGTCATGGCATTCTTCATGTTCATTTTTTTTCACTTCCCAAACTAGAGACAAACCCAACTTTGAACTGGGCCCTCTAACGGCCCAAACACTAAAATAATAATTTCCCCCAAACACGTCGCACTTCAAAACCCTAATTTGTGTTGCCCAAAAACCCTAAAACCCGCCAAACGTGGTTTTCGTCATCCGTTGTTGGAGCTAACGAACACTCTCTGATTAGCCAAACAATGAGACCCCCGAGAGGCGGCGGACGCGGCGGCGGTTTCAGAGGTGGGCGGGACGGTGGCGGTCGTGGCTTCGGAGGACGAGGCGGCGGTGGTCGTGGCTTCGGAGGACGAGGCGGCGGCGGATTTCGCGATGAAGGACCACCCTCCGAAGTCGTAGGTGCGTTCGCTCTTCCATTTTGTGATATGAGAGACGTTTCGTGTTCTATGATCGTTGTTGGGTATTTCACAAACATCATTTGAATGTTGAAAAGTCTCGTGCTTTATAGTGTTTGTTGGGTTTTGGTCATTTGCGAGGGAAGAGCATAACTTCGTTCCAAATTCAGTTAAATAAAAAAATGTTTTTTGTTTTTGTTTCTATGTTATCTTTATTCTTTTGATAGTGTGTGTTTAATGGAGTTTGTTGATTTGGTGTATGCAGAGGTGTCGACGTTTTTGCATGCATGTGAGGGAGATGCAGTGACAAAGCTTACTAATGAGAAAATTCCTTTTTTTAATGCTCCTATATATCTCCAAAACATGACTCAGATTGGCAAAGTTGATGAAATATTTGGTCCCATCAACGAAGCTGTGAGTTTCTCTCATTTTGTAATTTTAATTTTAACTATGAACTCGATTATGATGTTATTTTCTGCTTCATTTGTGAAATGCAGTACTTTTCAATTAAAATGATGGAAGGGATTGTTGCTACTTCATATTCATCCGGTGACAAGTTTTATATTGACCCAAGGAAACTGCTGCCTCTTGCAAGATTTCTTCCGCAACCGAAGTATGTTCTTTTTGTATCTCATTGCTCTAAAAAGTTAAATCGACTAATATTGTACTATTAGTTTGCTCTGAAGTTCATAGTAAAACACCCACAGACTGTGCACTGGAAAGTGAATGAAGATAGAGATAGGTTAATCTGTGCCAATTGATTTCCCTCATTTCTGTTTATGTTTCTGATCATCGTGAGTGTTTTTTTTTTTTTTATCTATTTCCACGTTTTCCATCCTTGTTTTCATTGAATGTGAAATAAAAAACTTGGTTAATGGTCACATTGGTCTATCACATCTCCCCCCTTTATTAAGTATCCCTACGTTTGCAGTTTGCATAAAGCTGTTCTTATTTCATTGTAGCATGTTATGCTTCTATGTTATGCCTGTACGTTTGCTTGTGCAGCCACTATGTTGAAAGTGAATATGACCTCTAGGATATTTATTTTGTCTAAAGGATTCTTCGGATTTTGGATATAGTCTTGAAAGATTAATTCTAAATTCCCAATTTCTATCAAAATGATTTGTTTATTGCCACCATCTTTCTTTATTTTGAAAGAAATATTGCTTTTTATGACAATGTGGCTTTAGCAGTGGTTTATTATCTTTTTGATTCAGTTAAGTGGTATGCAGTTGGATCTTTGTGTTCAAATTCTTCATATCTGAAACAATCTGTTGAGTTGCCAAAACATATTATGATTGTTATCAATATATGGATTGTTAACCATCCCTGCCAGCAAGTTGTTGGTAGCTTTGAAGGGTAGTTGGATGGCATTTCTGCTAACATGATTGGCTGATTGTTGTTGCAGGGGACAAGCACAAGCTGCTGGAGGTGGTGGCAGAGGAGGTCGAGGTGGAGGCAGAGGTGGCCGTGGAGGAGGGGGCGGTGGTTTTCGTGGAAGGGGTGGTCCAAGGGGTGGGAGAGGTGGTCCTCCTAGGGGTGGGCGTGGTGGTGGTTTCAGGGGAAGGGGGAGATCATAGAGAAATTTTATGTAATCTTCTTTACATTGCTGCTATCATTTTGTTTTGAGGATAGGATAACATACGGTGCCCAAGTGAAGATTTGATGTTGAATTGACTATTATTTAATGGATTGAGTGGTTCCATTGCAGTTGCTTTATTGTAGTGTTATCATGATGGCTAAATAGATTAAGTTGCGTAGTGGCGATCTAGATTGGTGCATGATTATCCGCTTTGCTGCCTTTGCATATCTTTGGTTCAATGTTTTTGAAAATCAAATAAGATGGTTCAATCAATTAAATCGGCTGGGAGAAAAGTTCTAATGTGAATTTATTTGTAAAGTGAGAAAGTAAAGGGTTATCTACCATTGAATCTTTATATGTTAGTATCATCACGTATTCCAAATTCTATCAATGATAAATAATTTTTTTTTTTCATTTTACTAACATTCACTTTAGAAGAACCTTAACCATGTCAGGGTAGGAAAATAAATATGGGGGCATAGTGGTATATCGAGTGAGAGCGTGAAATGATAGAGAAGTTATTATAGTAAATGTTAACCTTTTAATCTACTAGTTTGCAGATAACTATTAGTTTATTTAGGTGGTTAAAGTTGGGACTTTGGACGTTGATGTTATGTGTTCATGTGTTATATGGTTATAACTGCTAGGAACGTAAGATTGTGGTAGAATTAATTTTGAAAGAACTGATGTTTATAAAATTAATGTTAGAAGACTGATTTGTTAACTGAGAATGATGATTTAAAAGCAAGTTTAGAAGAATCAATTTTATCTAAACGATAAAGTAGAAAACGTTTTGAATTGTATATAAATATATTTTGTTGCTTACATTTTTGGATTTAATTCTTATCAAATAACAACAAAGAATAAACTTTGATTTCTTTAAAAGTTAGTTTTACTCACTGAAATTAATTTTGAAAATAAAAAAATAGTTTGTCAGACAAAATCAATTACTTCTTCAACACCGTGATTTGATCAGAGGTTAATAGCAGCATTACTGAAGTTTTATTATAATTTTGCTCTTGTAAAAGTTAAATATTGTCAAAGTCGGCTAGTCAATTAACAAAATTATATATCTTCAATTTATGGGTTTTGAGATTATAGTTAAAATTCCAGGTTTATAAAACATCTAAAACAATTATGTCACATTTTGAAAATCGCGCACATTGTATTTTCAGAATTTTAAGCCTGTTAGTGCAAAAACATTCATACACCAACAGCATATGGAATATTAATCCAAGAATAGTATTTGGAGCCTTCCCCTTAGATAAAAGTCAGATATAAAATGGATCCAAGAAAATTTATGGTAAGAATACAATTCACTCAACACATGAAAAGTATTAAAAGCTTTGGTAGCAAGAATTGTTAAGTGTTGCTGAGAGTGGAGCTCTTTTATTCAAAGCAAAAATAATAGGAACTCAAGCTTCCCAACCCCTAAGAACAGTAGCCCGTGCTACACGGTTAACCGCAAGGGTAAATGCTCCCATACGAAGATCACATTCATGGGTTTTGCACATTTCCTTCACATCTTTGAAACCTTTGGTCATGTAGGTCTTCAACTCATTGTTCACTTTCTCCTCATCCCACATGAACCCTTGGATGTTCTGTGTATTAAAAACATAAATAGAGTATATTAATCAGCATAACTTGTAAACAGTTCACATGTGCAAGAGGATCCGTGAATACATATAGTTCATCATATATAAGACAAAACTTAGGTGTAGTACTTTTAAGTACATTTGGTGCTGTTATTAAGATTGAAGTTCATATTGATAGCATGTATAAAGGTTGGCATTAAAAGGCAGCACACGTTACCCATGAGAAACTCCAGTCTTCCTTGGAGAACAACACCAAAAGCACAATGATACTGCATCAAAGTTTTGTCCTTAAATAAATTAATGGTTACCTGAACCCATTCAAAGTAGCTAACTGTAACGCCTCCTGAATTTGCATATATGTCTGGGAGGATCACAACACCTTTCTTCCTCAGAATCTGCAAGTTAGTGTGCGTTTGTGTTAGCATCTACAAACCTGATCTTAGATTATGCTGTTTTTCCAAAGTTGATTTTGGCTGACTTAAGTTTCAAGGAAGATGATTTATTTTCAGAACTTTTCATCTTAAAAGTTTATAGTAAAATTTAGTGTAAAATTCTTAATTCAACACAAGCCACATGAGGATTGGTTGTAGCAAATGTCAAACCAAACACATGGTTAGAAAGGTAGTTAACAATAGTTTATTTCTTCTTTCTTTTTTGTATAAGGGAAGGAAAGAGAAAAAATATAAACCTCATCGGCCTCTGGGTCCGTTGGGTGGTTAGCCGCTTCAACAATAAATTTGGCCTTGATTTCATTTGCACTTTCCCTTCAACCACAAAGAACAAGAAAAAAATAAGATTTATCTTTGGACCTCTCTAATATAATTCAACTTTAGAATATAGCTTGTAGAAGGCATCGAGAGAGGAGGCAGAAAATGCATTAAGCAATTGGCTAGCATTTATCAGAAAGGTACTAATCTAATCTAATAAATTAAAATGGGTGTTTCAATATTATGTTTGTTTTCAAAGTAAACTATGATGATGATACAATGCTATGTAGTTTGTTAAAATAATCTAATCTTTTGTGCAGTCCCTTGTTTGCCTGAGTTGAGAACAAATGACTTTTTCAGTTTAGTCAGGAAAAGCACCTATTGATGACACCCCCAAGAGCTGCTGGGACTAGAACATCACAATCTTCAACCAATATTGAGTTAGGATCAATTGGATCGCCACCGTGGAATCCTTTTATGCCACGGTGCTCTTTGGAATGCTTGAGTAGGCTTGGGATGTCAAGACCTTTGCTGTTCTTTATGGCTCCAGTTATGTCACTCACAGCAACAACTTTTCCACCTTGCTCACTAATTAATTGGGCAGCCCATGACCCTACATTTCCAAAACCCTGAAGAAATACACACAGCATGATTTTGTCTCAAATTCATCAGATTACTAAATCCAAGTACTTCTTTGAAGCAGTTCTTCACCATCTACATAGCTAATGCTTTATTCTTTCCCTATAGGCTATAGTGCAACAATTGTAGGACATAAAAGTAAAAGGGTTCTTCCAACCTCTTTAATTAACTATTTGCGGTAACTAGTAATTATTGATATGTGGGAATTTCTAACAAATAACCAAAGGTTAATTTGTATTAGTACCACAACCTTGTCTTCATTAACCACTACATTGAGCATCATTTTTAAACTAGCATCATGCTTGCTAATTTCATTAGCATAGAGATTAATGGGAGTAAATATACAAGGCACCGCAAGTACCTGTATGACAAACCGTTGTCCAGATACACTCTTCCCATGCTCATTAAGCAAAGCCTCTGTTGCAAAGAGCACTCCTCTTCCTGTGGCTGCATCTCTTCCAAGAGATCCACCAAGATCCTATTTTTGAAAGTGAAAAAAAAATGGAAAAGGGAATGATTTATTAAGAATGGTTTGGTTTCAGTTCAATGGCTACTGAAATGAAATGATAAACACAAACAGTTACTTACTATAGGCTTTCCAGTCACTACAGCAGGAGAGTAACCGTGAAATTTGGAATACTCATCTAGTATCCATGCCATGGTCTGCATGAACAACCACACAGTAAGGTAATATTAAACTCAAAGATCATATCAGCACATATTTAAGGCAAATATAAAACAACTCATGACTCTCATAAGCTCTTTGTAACTTATTTCGATAAACTCTTTGGTATAACTTGTCAAGATAACCTCCTTTCAGCTTATTCTAATAAATTTCTTCGTTAAATTTATGACATCAATCATCGTTTAAAAGTAAGGTGTGTATTCAAACGCACACATAATCTTAAACAAACAGCAGCAGATTAACTTATAAATCTGTGTACTGTATACTACTTACCTGTGGTCCTGTTCCCATATCAGGTGCTGGGACGTCTGTGTGAGTTCCAATCAGATCATGAATTTTCTGGGTAAAAACCCTGGTAAGTCTTTCTAACTCAGACACACTTAATTCTGCTGGATTACACCCTATCCCTCCTTTGGCACCACCATATGGTATATTTGCTACAGCTGTTTTCCATGTCATTAATTGTGCTAAAGCATTCACTTCATCTGGGTCAACCTATTTATTCCATTAAATGATTCAGTGTGAGGACAGAGAACCTAAAGCATTATAGAGTAATACCCATATACATATATAAACAGTTCCAGGAACTAATTCATAGAAAAGTTATAATTCGAAACATCAAACTGTTGTCTTTTATCAAATATGTGGTTATGCAGCTGATTCTCGTTACAATTTGTTTAATTTCTATCCAAGTTATACAAATTTAACGGAAAGAAATGAAATAATTATCACTGACAAAATTTATAGCAATTCAATGCTGTACTACTTGTTCAATCAAAAGAATGCATGTCTTTACCACAGCCATAAAGAAGTTAGTAAATGAAAATTCTTGGTGTTAACCTCAGGATGGTATCTGATTCCTCCTTTCATAGGGCCTCTGGCATTATCATGTTGAACTCTGAACCCAACATAAGATTGCAACGTGCCATCGTCTTTAGGTATAGTACATTCAACCTGCATTTTTGTGAAACATAATTTAAAACTAGAGTTGATGAACCATACGAAACAGAACAGGCAAAACAAGAGTACACTAATTTGCAAGAACAAAGGCATGAGATACAAATTAACAATTTTACTTGCCTTGATCTCCCTGAATGGAATCAGCAAACTTTTCTCAAGCTTGGAATCCAATCCCAGAAGCCTTGATGCCAACCTAAAGTTCCTATTGGTGGCTACTAGTGCATTCATTGTTCCCCTTGGCAACTATATAAGAAATAACACAATATTCAATCTTTTAGCCAGATATGATATTCAAGACGCGGAAAACAGATCTTGTAGTTTTACTATTATTCGGACTATAGAAATTGTATGGAAGATGAAAAGAGATCCATCTACACTATTATTTATATCAAGTGACACACAAGACCCAACTATAGTCAATGTTATCAATGTAAACTAGTAGAAGTTTGGTAGAGCCCACGTAAGACCAGCAAACTGGATAAGTGCCAGCAACGTGCAATGCCATGTGGATCAATGTCAGCAATTAATCATGAAACGCTAAGGTATAATTTAGTTGTATTTACATATAAGGCATGATTTTGGTGGCACTTCATCAAAGTGCCCCCTCAATTTGTATTATCTAATAAGAATATTCGGTAGTAGAAAGGATTAAAATAATCTTCTTCACTACTGAATGTACCTGTTTTGTATCCTAGCTTCTTTCAAATCTCCAAGAAGAAAAAGATTTGTTACAGAAATCTACCATATTACTTGGGATGATAATAAAGTTTTGTTCTCGTTTTTTGTGAATTCAAAGTTAATGTATTCAGGAAACCTTTGTTACACTTTCCTGAAACAGCTTATGAATGAATTGTGTGGCCAAGTGCTCCTTATATTGGCACGTAATGGGGTACTATTGGGCAAAGCGTTTGTTAATGGTCCCAAAAAGAAGGAATCTCAGAAAATCACCTTTCTACAACATCAAGAAGGGCCAACATTTTTGGAATTTTAAGAATTAGCAATTCCAGTGGCTCCAAAATTATCTGAAGAGGTACTATCCAGGTGAGGTAGGAAGCAACATACTCTAACAAAGAGACACAGTTCAAGTCTGATTAAAATAATGGATCATTTTAATTTTTAGTGTCATAAAAGAACTGGTTGACGAATAAAAATTAAAATATTTTTATTAGAAAATAAGTTGAAAAATATATTAAAAATTACAGTGAGAATATATTAATAACATTTTAAAAATAATATTTTACTTTTGATTCTTTAAACGATGTCTTGAGTTGAGAATTAGCTTAAAATTAAATTCTTTGCTTCCACAATTTCATAATTGTCAATTAGAGGCCACAGATGTCTAGGAGCGCAAATTATGCATTTAGACAAATAAATATCTCACGGCCTGTGTTGCGGATCATGACTTGCTACCATATATTTTATTACATTTGCCCATTAATCATGTGGCAATACCCAACTTTATTATACATTATTTTCCAAGTACTTGCTTTCCACGAGGCCCCACTTAGTGGAATTGATTTTAATACCCTCTTGGCTGTGGCTATTCTTACATCATTTTTCAAAATGGAAGCAAGTTTTGCCTTTTCTTTCCTATTTTGTTGCAATATTAAATATTTATGAACCTCCCCCAGTTGGCATGTTGTTCTGCTTTTATATTTAGGTCACTACCTCTGAATCTAATACTCTTAAGACATTGTCACAGCAATCATCTTATAAACATTTTTAAAAGAGAGAAAAAAATGATATGCACCACACTTGGGTAGTGTGGAAGAGAACACGCTAAACTAGCATAGAATTCACTACTTCCACTAGTCAAAGAGGTATTTGGTATCAAATAAATGAGTGTGCCTTTGGAAACTCACTGAAAAAATTATAAATATAGATTCAACACAAAAGTTAACAACTGGATCCATTTAAATGTAACTTAAATTAATGAAAAAGCTTATTAGAAAGGATAATTTTGTGACTTGTGACTGTATTCTATATGAAAAGAAAAAGCAGGGGATTCACCTAGATCAGCAGAAGATATATGCATTTATTAGAGGGTAGTTCAAGCACTGAATCTTTGATGGGTACACATAAATAAAAAATTTGGATTTCATCTCAAAATAAAAAACTTTGGAATCTCAAATGGCATATATAACAGGCCAAAACCATGCTAAAACCCCATTTCAGCAAAGGACTAATTACTAATTAAAAATGCAGTGAATTGAATAATATAATGGAAAACACCATATCCTCTCTCTAAAAGCGGTTTCCCAGAAAACGCAGTGATTGGTTATCAATGATATGAATAATTCGAAGTGTATTATTATTCAAAGCAGGAGGGATGGACTTGATAATCTTTGACTCCCCCTCCTATGATTTTATTAATCCTTGCACATATCCAATCACTTCAACTACACGCCAGTTTCATATCACTCGATATGTGAGTTAGAAATAAGTGGCTGAATTTTATACTAAACATTTAAAAGTTCAATCCATTACATTTTTACTGGGCTAAGTTCTTGACTCCACCGACTTTGAAAGATAAAAAAAATTGATCATATTGGCATATTCTATCAGCATTTCAGAGTTAAATTTACATAGAAACAAGTTATGGTGTGAAGAAGGAGCAAGTCACATGGGAATGGGATAATTCATGTCCTCCTGCCCTAACCTTTTGAATGCAACACGACTCACTTTTTTAATTACTTGACATAAAGAGAGACAACACATAAAAAACAAGATATTAGTATCAGTCCAATTCTTAATATTAAATAAAACACACACCTTTTTGCCTCATCTCTGGTCATCACTTTGCACTGATAAAACATCGTGTTGTATCCAAATAAATTAATAAATAAAAGACACCATTATCATGCTGATTGAATATTACTAGCAAGGAGCTGGTAAAGTTACAATATTTATCAGCACTTTGTGCCAAGTATTTGCCTATTGGAAATTCAAGAGAATACCCTGAGTCTATAAGTAAGAGACATAACACCAAAGGCAAAGAGCAACTCATTCTCTATCAGTTCCTACTAGCATTGAAATACTTAGTTTCCAATCGCAGAAAACTAGATAAAAGGAATTAAAGCAACCAAGAGTTGCAACTCTTTTTGCTAACATTTCAAATGCAAGATAGTTGGGAAACATACCAAGAAATGGAGAGGGAAAAGCTGAATCACGCTTTGAGAACCAGAAACAGTGTGAAGCTGGGTTGAAGCAAGTGAAATTCCAAAACCAAGTAAAGGCTTAACACAACACGGACCCAATATAAATAGTGAGAGGGAGAGAGAAAAAGACCCAAAAAAAACTGGGGGAGAATCAGAATTGAATTCCCACAGGAATCTAATTCAAAGTCCCTGTTGTTTGCAGGCACACCAAATATGCCAGAAACAACACTAGTCACTCAAATCAACATAGGTGGTTTCTTTGGTCAGAACTAAGAATTACAATTGTGAACTGTAACAGAATACGATGCTTTGTGTGAACCAAAGATAGGTGGTTTGCGGTGCTTTCCTATTACCCACTAGGCTCTACATAGCATATCTCAACTCTGAGAACTCACCCTCCACCATTAGTCCCTATGCTGCACCTTACTGACACACCACACTTCACTACAAGGCTCAAAGAGGAAGGTATAAGCATAAACACAGTCATTAGCAAGGGAAACGTGCGTTGCACTGTCACTGCCAAGTGACACAAATATAAATGCTTTCATTACACACGTGAATCCAACGCGATTCCCACATATAACACTCGCGTCTTATTGGTTTATAGCAGGATAAAATTGATTATGAACGAAACTGAAATGTGTGTTTCAATTATGAGTTATATATTAAAATTTGAAAATGTGTTTTCTAATAAAAGAAATATAGGAATTGATTTGTAATTTTAAAATAAAAGACCGTAGAATGAATATAAATTTTCTGTAAAAGAAAAATGTATATTTTTTGGTAAGGGTTTTGTGAATTTTGAGACTTTTTCTTTATCTTTAAATGGACATCCTTTTTTCCATGAAAGAAAACAGCTTTAAAACTAAGGACCTAACCAATTACAACCTCAACCCCCATTCATTATTATTTTTGGTATTCTTTTCCAAAAGGATAATTGCATATGGCACTGCTACAAATAGTCTTGTTTCTTTGTATTTCTCCTTTCCCATGTCTTTGTTACCCAACACAAACAAGCAACTGTAGATTTTCCCTACAGATATCAAAATGGATTATTTGCCCCGGTTCAGTTCAAGTTTTCAGCTTTTTACTTTGTTGGGTTAAACAAAAATAAAATAAAAAACCTATTTTTGGTTTAAGCATTAAAATATAGATATAACTTAGTCCAAATTTATATTATATACTTAAATAAACTAGACTAAGTTAAACCTGATCAAGAAAAAAATTGAATAAATCAGACAAAATTTAGAATGAGTTTGAATTAATTTACTGGGTCGATTTTGAATATTAATTTTCTGTAATTTTTTGAACTTAAATATACAGGCCTAATTGGACCATCTATTTTGCCAACTTTAATCTAAGATCCTTTTCAACTTGTTTCATCTTGTCTTGCACATGAGCTATGTTAGAGCCGCCACTAATTTTGGGAATATGTTCATATCACCAATCGGTGTTCTTTTTTAGAAAATAAAATATTTTGTTTGTATAACTTATTATAGTATATCTTAACCAATAAATAACATAGTTTAACGCAAAATATTTACTTAATTACCCACACCATTTTTTTTTAAATAACACATTTCGTTGTTAATTGTGTAATACTCGTGAGTGGATTTTAATTCGCTTTGAACACTAACATCATCCAAAATAGACGAAACGTGATAAATTTGCTGTTCCAAATATAGTGTTTGTTGAGTCTATGATATCCATTTCCTCTTTTTCTTCCCTTACTCTGTTAAAGTCTATCTCCTTCCCTACTTTTCCCTTTCATTCAAAAGAAGGAAATAAAGGGGAAAAAAAGGGATCAATTTTCCTAAAAATATATATATAACTTAAAAACGAAGAGTGTGAATAAGCATATGTTTAAAAACACAATTATATATTTAGAATCACGTTCAACAGATATAAATATACTTTGATTATTTTGTGCACATGGTTAGTTAATTTGAATTAAAATTAATTTTATTCTTAAATTCACATTTAAGTATATATGATATAAATTATAACTTTTTATGCTCAGTTGAACAAATTACATTAAATTTTAAAAGGGTTTCCAAATATAAAAAAATTAATTCAATTTTATATGAAATAATTAAATTAATTGAAAATCGTATTTATAAACGCTCATTCAAACATTGTAATAATCATAAAGCATGTAAATCAATTGATGGAAATTGTTCTACCTTAATTTATAGTTTCAAATTTGAGTATAAATAAATATAATTATTTTAAATATTTGAAGTGAGAGTTTTTACAAACAATATTTTTTTAATAGAAAATACCTGTGAAATAGAAAAAGAAAATATAGTTTTAATAATCTGGTTGAATAAATTAGAGTATCATAGGTGCATGAAAATTAGTTATTCTATATTTTACCCTTAAAAGTATTTTAGTACTGATTTTTGCTAGAGCCTGGAATTTGTTGCTTAGTTGAAACCTATGTGCAGCAACGTTGTCCAAAGTAGGAAAACAGTAGCATAGTCGATTTAGAACATCTTTCTTTTAAAGTGATGGGGCGTTGGAACAGAAGAATGAACACCACCATGTACCCAAATATCAAAGAAAAATTCTATATTTTGATCACCGGAATCAAATGCATAGCCCTCGTCTTATTTCCTTTTATTCTAATTTAACGATAACAAGTAAAAATATATATAACAACCAAGAGTGAAAGTATTGCTATTTAAAAGAAAGAATTTTACTTGTCATTGTTTAAATGCATGGATCAAGAAAGGTACAACTTTTCTAAATCATTGATTTGCAGGGCATTGAATATCATTAAGGAAAACCCCCAAACTTTTGTTTATCGTAAAAAGGAAAAGAAAAGAAAAATTATAAAATATGCAAATTATTTAGAATTAAATTTAGATGTAATAGATCTTTAGACACAAATTCAACTAAGTTAATTTGTCAGCTATTAAATTCACTTCAAGAATAATGACATATAAGCATGAGAGAAATTAATATCTTGAAAAATAAAACACACAAGTCAATTTTGATTTTTTGAGAATAAGATTCTTTACTTTTAAGCAATCAAATTTTAAAATCACTATATAATAACTTTTTTATATGATTAAGTGAAAATCTTAAAAGATTATTTTTAATTCAGTATAGAAAATATATTTAATACTATAAAAAAAGTAAACTCTATTAGTTTTTTACTATTATAGTCTCGTGTAACATCGTCATAATTCGACTTTTTTATTTTTTTATATTTTTAAAAAATAATTTCTTAAAATAATATTTTTTTAAAACATATTTCTTATTTGAAACTTTTTTTGTCATGTCAATACTTGTTTCGTCTATCGTACAGATGAAATTAAATTTTTTATTTTTTAATTAAATTTTTTATTCAACAGTTATCATCTGATAAATTTTGTCTATTACATGAACGAAACTCACAGGATTGCACTACGTATCATTCTAATTCAACGTTAAAAACTTAATTTAAAGGAAAGAGAACGAGTGCATTCAGAAAATATACCTACGGTTATTTAATAATAGTCGTTTTACATTTAATATTATTAAAGTAATCTATTTGTTCAAAAATAATTGTTTTTTTTATCCATTTTTCATATACATCCATTCGGCTTTGTTTGACGTGTTTTTCCATTTAAATAGTCAAATATTAAATCAAATTATACAAGTTACAAGAGGAGTAATAATTACAAAAATGAATGTTAACGGTTATTATTAATTCAGAAGAGAAAGAATAAGTGTCATAATTTTTTTACCACGTCAATCAAAGCATTCGGGTGCATATAGAAAATGGGTAAAAAGCATTAATTGCTTTTGAATAAATAAATTACTTGAATTATATTAAATGTGAAAACGGCTATTATTAATTATTCGTATATCATGAACATCCAAGTCACCCTATTTTTTAGGAGAAGTAATTTTATCACAATCAACTAAATGAATGTCATGGTATAGTAATTAGAAGATCAAATAAAATCTCTAATTACCTTACTCATATAATGACAAACAGATTGAAATAGTCACTAAATTTGTATGGGATAAATAAGAATATAAGTTAAGACAGATTTTGTCAAGTAAATTTTATAAGTTTTATTAAATAATTTTTCTTTTCATGTTGTCACCTTTTAGTATATTTTCTCAAGTAAAGGAGCAAAAGTTATTTTATTTAGTTTACCTTTAGTCAATGGAAAGTCAAGGTAGGTTCCTATTTCGTAATCAAATGAATGGAAGTGAAATAATTGAGAATATCACACTTTTGGCAAGGAATTCTTTTCAAAAACATTACCATTGATTCGTCAAAGTTGATCTTAAGGCTAGAGGCATCACCAAAAATTTGTATCATTGTGATAGCATTTTGGACTTGAATATTTTCAGTTTGCAAGAAAATAAAGACATCGTTAGCACATAAAAGGTAAATGATATTAGAGTCGTTCTTTGATAGATAGACTTTTCCTCTACTTTTTAATTTATTAATAAAGTTTTTCCATGCAAAGAATAAAAAGGTAAAGAGAAATGTGATTCCCTTGTCTAAGACCCTTTGTTGGTTGAAAATATTTGAATTAAACACCATTCAATATAATAGATAAGAAGAGTGTAGGCATACACTACATAATAATACTACATAATAAGAGACACAATATGACTTAATATATCAAAATTAATGAGAATTTGTTTAAGAAAATATCAACTAATATTATCTTATGTCTTCTCTAAATCAATTTGTGTGGTCATTATTCTTTTCTTAACTGTACTTTTATATAATTTAAGATTTTCTGTGCAACTAAAATATTTTCTTTATATAAATTTATTAGCATTTATACAATTTTTTGAAATATCTTGAAAATAAATCAATTAACTAGTTTTTTTTTAGAGTATGGTAACGTATAAGTTTAACTTAAGTCCACTTTAAATAAATTAGTTTAATTTAAAGTCTTTAGATAAATTTTTAAAAAATGCTGATAAAAAAACCAAAAAAAAAATGAATTAAATAATTTTTATAAATTAAAATTAATTTATCTTAAATTTAAAAAATAAAAAAAGTAAAATAAACATAATTTGAATGCATAAATTTTTAATTTATTTTAATTTTATTCTATAAATATTTATTAAAAGAATATTTTATATTAAAATGTGTGCTTCTCTCAACTAATTTACCTTCCTAATTAATCTTTTCAAAAGCAGGCTAATGACTGTAGAACTAACATAATCTCGGTTTGGGATTATTATAATGTGTCGAACCTATAAATTGTATAAATAGTTTAGAAACCTTTACGTATATTTTATTTAAATGAATATATATAATTTAATAATTAAATATCACAATTTTATAAATATAAAATATTATATAAATCGAAAGACTGCAATGAAAATTTTGCATAACTACAAATCAATCAAATATAAAAAGATTAATTAAAATTAAATTAATTATGATGTGTTAGTTTATAATATTAAATTTTAATTTTAATGAATATAATTATGTTAAATATATTCAAACAGAGAATGTAGTTATATAGATATATATATTTAATAAATATTAAAAGCCAAATTTTAATATCAATAAATTTAGTAT